TCATTTCATAATCGATCTAAATAAAAACAAAAATAATTTATTTTTACTTAGATCAACTATCAAATGAAAAAATTTAAATGGTGAGTTCTATTTTCATAGTGAAAACTAGATAAATTATTTTATTTTTATTTAGATGAATTATGAAATTAACAAATATAAATGGTGAGTTGTATTTTCATAGTGAAAAGCAAATAAATTATTTTATTTTTATTTAGCTGAATTATCAAATGAACACATCTAAATGGTGAGTTGTATTTTCATAGTGAAAAGCAGATAAATTATTTTTGTTTTTATTTAGATCGATTATGAAATGAACAAACGTTAATCGTGAGTGATATTTTCATAGTTAAAAGCAGATATATTGTTTTATTTTTATTGAGATGAAATATGCTAAGCTGATCGTTTGGCCTACCGGAACCTGGAGTTATTGGCTGAAAAGTGCCTTAAAATCGCCGTATTCTGTAGCGAAACACTTGGCATCAGCTGCACATGGAAGCATGTTTCTGGTCGGAAGCTTCATGATTTTGTTTGGTTAGTTCCGAGCAACTTGCTGCGTCTTATGGGAAGACGCACTGGAAGTCATGCAAACAATTTGGGAAAGTTTTCGTTCGGAATACTGATTTGATGGTGCAGCGCTGTAGGGTGTTTACCTACAGGATACGGTGAGTCTCAGGCATCTTTTGTGTCGATTTCTAAAGAATGGGGTTCTTTTGAAGAGAGTACATGTGTTTTGCATTGTGTAGTGGTGTAACAGTACTTCTGTCACGTTGTATGGCGTTGGACGAAGCCTCAGCTTAATGTTTCTTGATAAATTATACGGAATCCCATGTACGAAACCCTTGCTATCAGCGCTTAAAAGTTAAGACTGTTTTCGAAACCTTTTTTCTACGAAACCCCAAAGGATTCCGATTTCGTTACAAAAATCGGAAGCTTTTTGGGTTTCGTATGGTGCCTTTTTTTTTTCAGTGCAGATATTTTAAGAAATTCAAATACTGACATTGCAATATTCAAAATTAATGAAATTTTGTACATGAAATAGTCTCATTAACACCTTCACATATACAAAGTTGCATGACGAAATTCAAAAATACGTTTCTTTCCAAAAGCTATTAATTCAGGAGTTCGATGAGAAGCCATTATCTTAATTAAATATGGACAAGACTCAGAATCTTTTGAGGGTTATGATATTCTAGTGGTACTATACAGACAGGCACATTATGATCGCAGTCAGAACGGATCATCTACGAATGTCCGTTCTTTGAAATCCAGTGCTTAGAAGCGCTTTTCGGCTGCTTAAAATGTGCGCTTTTCAGCCCTTTTCAGCGAAAAATTTAAGCTACTTTAAGCGAGCTTTTCTGCTTAAATTTTCACATGGGGGCTGTGGGTGTGGGTGTGGGTAGGTTTGGGTGTCAGTATTAGTGTGAAGAAAACTTTCTTACCCACACCCACACCCACACCCACACCCACACCCATCACTCTCGGCGTATAACTTTTTCAAACCATCCAAAAGTTCATTTGATTCACATATCATTAGTACGTGAGGATTTGGATCATGCGAAACTTGAGACTTTCCATCCAATACGTCAGCTAATCAATTAAGTTTTCTATAAACTTCATCAACTTTGGCTCGAATTGGTAATGCCACTGATCTAAGTGCAAATGTCGTTTCGGAAAATTCGGATTAAATTTACAAACTTACCTAGGGGTGTGGGTGTCTGGCTGTGGCTGTGGCTGTGTGACGTAAGTGTGGTTGTGGGTGTGGGGTGTGTGTGGTTGGGTTTGGGTGTCAGTATTAGTTTGAATAAAACTTTCTTACCCACACCCAAAAATACTTCATTTCAAGATACTAACTATTGCTATTTAACTTCTTATAATGACGGTTTTGTTATCTTAATAATTTCGAGATAAAAATTTATTCGTAGCATTCCTAGAAAAGGAAAGAGAAAAAGTATTGTAGTCAATGCCATCAGATTGATTGCTCATATGACTGCATTTTCAAGGACAAAACTACAAGAGAAGAAAAATGCAATAATTGTCTGACTGGTGAGTGTCAACATACTATTCTTTTCTTCACATTAAAAAAAGGTTCATTTTTACACACAAAAGGAGAAAATAAAAAAAGACAATTGTCTTTTTTCCTACTTTGTCAACTGCCTGTGAAGGAGAATATTTCAATACTAAAAATATGTTTACATGAAGCTCGTATTTGATTAAATAAAATAGGTAATAATTTTAGAAAAATATATTTTGAAAAAAACTTTATTTTTTCTTGTTTTATGAAATCAAAAAAAATATTCCGATTAATCTCCTCACGCTGTGCGAGAGTTTTATTTTAAAGTATCTCTAATTTCGAAAATGTTTCTGAAATACAATAAAAAAATAACTCCATGTTCGATGATAAACCATTTACAGTAGATGTTTGTTTCAGGTGTCTAGTTGAAAATCTATTTCTAGATAACAATTTATTTACGTACAATGGAACGTAGTAATCAATACAAGTACATGGGTGTTGAGTCCACTGGTCTTCTTCTCCTATGCATTATTTGCAAAAGACCTTTTGAAGATCCAAGACGAACTCAATGTAATCATATATTTTGTCGTGAATGTATTATTAGATGGATTGTAAGAAATAGAAATTCGTGTCCTTCATGTCGACAGTTTGTATCAATTAATAGTTTGTCACCCATTAGTGATAGTTTACATAATATGCTCGATAGACTTCATGTTAAATGTACACTTTGTGGACAGGAAGATATAAAGAGAGGGAATTTCAGGGATCATATAAACAAAATGTGTTCCAATGTTCACGTATCTTGCCATTACGCAGATATCGGATGTCCATGGATTGGAAAAAGACGACAACTTAATAATCATTTGTCAACATGTGAATTTCATCATTTTCGACCTCTATTCAATCAAATCTTTAGTGAAAATCAACAAATTAGGAAACTATGTCAGGAACAATTGAATCAGACTCAGGAACTCCGAAATGAAATTCAACAGCAACATACAGAACTAATACAATGTATATCTCAAGGATTTCATCACTACGGCACTCAGATTAACATGTTAACAAATCAGGTAGCAGGTAAGAATATTGAAGATATAAAAGTTATAGAATCTTCATTAGTCTATGTCAAAACAAAAGATGATTTTTAGCTGCGTAAGCTTCATACTATTCACTATCATATAATAGAGAATACTCGTAATACAATTTTATAGATGAGTCCAGAGATTTTTCGCTGACTTTCCTTTTCAATACGAATAAAACTTTTATCTATAGAAAATTGAACAATAAAAATATATTCTAAAAGATAACATTTAAAATGGAATTGTAGTTATTGGCAAACTATAGTGAGAAGCTAATTCATGATGAAATATCTAATAATCGAATCATACACATTTCTAGTGACAGTCGATTGAATTCTTCTACTTCGATTCTTCGTTTAGATCTTATCTCACAAAAACAATATGAAAAAGAACAATATTTTTCTGACGAGCCAATATCAGTCGAAGAAAATTCCTATTATCAACAATGTAAAAAGTATTATCAAATGATAGAAACGCCTCTTATAACAGTCTCAGATGATATTTTCAACGATGCTAATGAATTAACATCATCAATATTAAAATTTGCTATTGATAAAGATTATCATGATTTTCTTTTACAAAAATTTTTACATAAAATATGCAATATAATGAATATAAATTTGAATGATATCGATATTAAAAAGATACAAAAAGGTAGTACTATATTAGAAATGGAAATATTTAAGAATATTGGTTCGAAACTTCGAAAGATTAAGCTTATATATAAATCAATCACTGATCAAATGAGAAAGGAGTTAGGAAAATTAAAAATCTTCTTTATGTTTATGGGTGATATTAAATCATTAGAGAAGAGACAAAAAGATTCTTATGAAATCAAATTACATCCGGAATGGAATCAAATATATGCACAAAATCATACATATTGGGTTGGTGCTAATAACGATGGAATAGATCGTGGTAATCAACCGTATTATTGTCCTGTTGGATGGAAAAGATATTCTTTATATGTGGCAGATGATTTTCGAGAGGAATTTAAAGGATGGTGTATATGCTATCATGGTACAAAATTTGAATATGGATTATCGATTTTGTTGAGTGGATTAAAGTCAGCGAAAGATCAGGCGCATGGTCCAGGAATATATACTAGTCCATCTATAATTTATGCATCTCATCCAAGATATGCTGAAATTAAACTTGTTGAATCTTCCGTTGAGAATGACTTTTTTGAAAAAGGTCAATTTATTCAATTTGTTTTAGAATGCCGTGTTCTTCCTAAAAATATAAAGATAAAATGCGAAACATTACGTGTTCACAATCAAGCTATTATTGATGTCAATATTAGTAATGATAAAATTGAATGGTTAATTGATACCCATAGAAAAGATCTAATGAATTTTAACGATCCAAATTCTGTAATTTTTTGCACAGGAATAATGATACGAGTTACAGATAATCATCCTGGTTTATTGCCTGTATCAAAATGGTGGTATGTAAATGGCACATTGGACTATCTAAAATCCACACCTTTAGGTATTTGTTATGAAGACTTAATAAAGAAGAGAGACAACGGAGAGAAGTGTAACATCATCTTTAAATAAATGAAACTCAACACCTTGTTTGAATGATAAAGAACTTGTTTCAGATCAGCTTCTGAAATCTCGAGAGATCGTGGGTGACTGGATGTGGGTAGATTGGTGTGAGTGTTGGTGTGGGTGGATGGGTGTACGTGTGAGTGTGTATGCGGGTGTGGGTGAACAAAAGACAACACTCACTCACCCACACCGGCACCCACACACCTACACCCAGACCCATCTCCACCCCTACATTCTATCTACAACAGCCTTACTCTTCTAATACTTGATATTATCTAAGCATTTGCTGCTGGAATCAACTGGTTTTCATCGTGCTTCTGACGACATCTAGGCGTCTCCTATATTGAATGGTTACAGAGAGGCAACAATTCTTTGCTTTTTTCATGTGATTGTTTTTATTACAGAGAGTGCATTTCGTTAAATGCAGCTACGAGCATTTGTTTGCTTAGCATGGTTGCAAATCTTTATGTCTTGTTGTAAAATGATTACTAATCACTTAAAAGATATAAATAAAAGAGATTATTATGAACAACAAACTTTGAAATATACTGATAAAATATATGGAATGTGCTGATTTACTGTTTTTTTTTTTCTTTTTTTAAAGCTGTTTCGTCATACTGTTGTCTTCAAAAATCAACTTATTAAGTTTCGGAGAAAGAAAATGGCGTCCAACACTGACTCTACAGATGCGAAGAATCCGTCTATACTTTCAGAAAGCTTACAAAACTTTGAAGACTTTACCATTGTTTGGCTTTATGGGCATCCTATAGAACGTCAAATTTTTGCTGGTCACGAAAAATTTCTACGAACTTTTGTTAATTTATTCAAACAGTTTGATGCCCCGTTAGAATTTCTAAGCTATATATTTTCTATCAAAAGCTATCGAGAAGCTCCAAGAGATTTCATCGCTCCAGGCCCAGTCAAATATGAAAATATATTTGTGATTCTTTCTAATGCCTATGATGAACGTTTAACAGCAAGAATACATGATTTATCATATGTTGAACAGATTTATATCTACGTTGATTGTGATGCTGAAACTTTGTGGACAAAAAAATATTTAAAAGGTCGTGGGCCTTATTCTGTCGATAACTTGCAAAATGTGTTTCGTACATTAGCTTACGATGCGCAGTGTGCACTAGACAATTTATTACCTATTACTATCTTTGATCCAGAGCCTACAGAATTTATTTATAAAGATTTGACAACTGAACAACTTGATTTTCTTTGGTTTCAATTACTTCTACGAGTACTTCAAGATACTCCAGTTAAATAAACGATAAAAGAAATAATTGACGAATATAAACCACATTTTACCGGCAACATGATAAAAGAAGAACAAATGGAGAAGTTTACCAAAAGTTATTCAAAGGAAAATGCAATTCAATTTTACTCTAATCATAAGTTATGGTTGGCAACAATTCTGAACAAAGCATGGCGAATGGAAGTTATCGAAGTATTATATAAATTTCGATTTTTTTTTCAAGATATTCAAAATTGTTTTGTTAAATTACAAAAAACATTTAAAGAAAAAACTTTAACTGTCTATCGACAACAATTTTTAACTATCTTCGACTTAAATAAATTGAGCAAAAATGTTGGTAAGTTAATTTCATTTAATAATTTTTTCCTTGCATCGATAGAAGAATATTTTGATAGTGATTTTGAAAGTCATTATGACTGCGCCTATGTATTTTTTTTTCAGTTCGAACTTGATAAAGAGTTAAGTACCTGTTTGTTTGGATTTGAGTCCGATGGCCTAGTGCTAATCAATGCAGGAAGTGTATTTCCAATTCTTACTGTGGAATTGTTGTCTAATGGCTCTTGATTAATAAAACTCGTTTTTAATATAGTCGTGCTTGACGATCTTCAAAAAATTATTGAGCATATAGAAAAAGAGATCAGCGCAGAGATAGATTTGCAAAATATCAGAATTTTCCTACTTTATAAAGGGCAGTATGAGAAGTCACTAAGATATCCTACTATTGCTTGTAGTGAACTTCCCCCAGATAGCTCAGAAGTTTTTGGTATTTATCAAAATATCGGTGCAGCTTACTATAAAGTGAGTAAATATGAATTGGCTCTGAAGTATTTACAAAAATATCTTGATCATCGTTTAAAAAATACTTCAGAGCCAATTCATATTTACTCACTTTATAGTAAGCTGCACCG